CTGGAGATTTCTGGGAGCTGAAGTCCACAAGCGTAGCTGGCTGGAGAATTCTGGGAGTTGAAGTCCACAAGTCTTAAAGTTTGGGGACCCCTGTTATATAAGATGGAATGAATTCACCACCTGAAAGTATGAGTCCTTAAACAGCTTTAGGATTCATTTGTTACACAGGCACATTGCATACACACACATTACATTAGAAGTCATTCTGCTCCAAGTGGGGGCGGGGGCTCTTTTTATTCTGAGTCTTAAGCAGTAGACTCCCTTCACCTTCTAGCATACTTCTTTCAGCTGGAGACTGGTAAACTATTAACAAAACTCAGATCTCTCATTCCATCATCAACTAATTCATATTATGCAACAGGACTTTCACTTTGTGGTTTTGCTCTGTGGAATACTTAGAAAATGACTTAGAAGCAAGCTTTGAACCATGCACAAGCACCTCCCTAATTAAAGGAGCCTATCCTTTTTCAAGCTTCTGTGCAAGCCTAAAAAAATAGACCTGGTGCTTTAAAGCTTGTCTTAATGTTAATGAGCAGAGTCCTTAAAGCAGTAGCAGTTTTCTAAGGCTCCAACAGAAACCTTTACAACGGGTGTCCAACCTTGCTAACGTGCTTGTTAAGACTTGTGAGTTTAAAGTTAAAGCATGGCTGTGGAGTTCTGGGAGTTGAAGTCCACAAGTCTTAAAGTTGCCAAGGCTGGACACACCTGCTTTAAAATATTGGGTTGCTTTTATGGCATAAAAGAGGTCTTGTGTTTGGGTATGTCTGAATCATGACTTCAAATATCTTTCAAACAGTGTTGGCCCTGTTACCCAAGATAGATTTCGGACAGCACTATACTGTGTATTGGATCTAACATCCATCTGTTGTGTAATAAAATAAACCAACCAAAAAAGAACCAATCCTGAATGGAGAAGCTTCATGTTTTTATAATAACTTGGTGGTTATAAAATGTTGAGGGAGAATGGACCAATTGTAGTTCCTAGGTAATTATCAAGGATAGCCCCTTGTAGAGTACATGGCAGTAATCCAAATGGGAAGTGACCAGGGTGTGAGTGACCCCGACCAAACCCTGGTTAAATGACCAAAAGCCATACAGTTTGAATTTGTAGCAATAAGCTTCATTTCTGGGTTCACTACCAGATGTAAGAATATGGATGGACAGTGGATGGCAGCAAAGCAGTATAGAAAAAAGTGTATTTAAAAGATTTATATAGCTGCCCATCTTATTTAGCATAATCTTGAGCATAATTTTATGAAGAAAAATAAAAGCATAAACATCAGCATAAAAACTCAAAATGAACTCTTTACTCCTATTAAGAGGTTGTGTGGGTTTTTAATTTCAGCTTTAATTTGGGAATTTTTCCAGTAACCCTAGAAAAGGAGACAGTTCCATAATTCAAAATAGGGGATAAAGTAGATTTTAGTAGTGCACTCCAGATGTTTGGCTACATCTCTCTTAATCTCTAGTGGTTGGCTGTGCTGGGAAGCCTGAGAACTGAAGTCCAGAATATCTGAAAGGCACTAGATGGCCTATCCCTGATCTAAGGATCCCAGAAATAAAAACAAAAGCAAACAATAACAACAACCCTGCACACTGGGAAAAGCTACCCTACAGATACAAAGTAAATTAAAACCTCCAAATCTGGAGGTTTTAATTTACTTTCAACCAGCCAAACAGTTTTCTGGAGATCAGTGAACACTTGTACATTACTGGAGCACTTGGCTTTGGAGACTGTTGATGACAAGAGGGCCAATAAGTATGTGATGACCCAGGGCATGGCACAAAGGCAACACAGTCAGATAATCAGCAGGAGTCCCTTTATTAGCTCCAACTTTGCCTCCAATGTCCTGGTTACCTTTTGGCTGGAGAAAGGAACAGCTTTTGGCTGCAGAGAATCAAGTCCAAAACGTGGTCAACAAAAACTAACTATAAGTCCAATCAAGGCAAAATGAGGTAATTAGTCCAACGGGACAGGAGCAAGAATTCCAAACATGAAGGCACGACAATAACTCAACACAGTTGGGAAGACGCCAGGAACACAGATAAGCAAAGTCAACAAAAGAACTCACAGTTGCTCCCAGAAGCTGCCGCACTCAACATGCATTTCTTTTAAACTTTCTTCCCAGCTGTGACTAATGAAGGGAATCAGGGCCCTTTCTTCCCCGGAAGCCACTCAACCCACATTGCTCTCTTCTCTGTTCCTCCCTGCATGCCCTAGGATGAAGAAGGGGTGGGCCTGGGTCTTCCTCTGAACTCCCTCTCCCTTGTTCTACCTCTTCCCTGCTCTGCCCAGCCAGGCTTTGCCCTTCCCCAGCCAACGTAGCCACACTCTCACTCCCTGTCAGCTGCTCGTCTTCCTCCTTGGATTCAGACTCCGACAGGAGCATGACAAAGGAGAGTGAATACGTTCAAGGAAATAGAACAATATTTTTCAACCTTGGCCACTTTAAGATAGGTGCGGTTCAACTCCCAGAATTCCCTTTGAAGGCTCCAGCAGAATTTTTAATTTTTTTAAAAAAATGTATATACTTATTTATATCCCATCTTTATTATTTTTACAAATGACTCAAGGCCACAAACATATCCAGCACACCTTCCTCCTCCTATTTTCCCCCACAGCAACAACCTTGAGTTGGGCTGAGAGACAGTGGACTGGCCGTAGGTCACCCAGCTGGCTCTCATGGCTAAAGTGGGACTAGAACTAGAACTCAGCAGTCTTAAGCATCAAATCAAACTAGGTCTCCTTGTAGCTGGGGAATTCTAGGAGTTAAGAATCTGCCCATCTTAAAGTGGCCAAGGTTGAGAAACCCTGGAAAAGAGCAATATCGTATATATACAACTTTTAAGGTTTTGTAGTTTAGAAAAAAAAAAGTTGAGCAAGAATTCATGAAATAGCTACAAGCAATTACAGTATGGTATTAATGCCGAGGAAGATATTAGGTAAGGAGATGTTTTGCACTTTCCATAATATTAGGACCCTAAACCACCAAGGAAATGGAATGGTGGAAAACTCAGGATAGACAAGGAAGTGCTACTTCATACAGTATTTATTTCAACTATGGAATTTGCCATCTCAAGAGGTGATAGTAGGAACGGTTAAAGGGGCATGTGTGTTAAATATGTTCATGACAATTGCTCCTGGAATGGCTCGTAGTTGTGACATCAGTACATTATCTCTAGTATTGTGAGAAGATCCCACTTTATCCTAATCATTGAAGAAGAGAATGCCAGGAGATTGCACTCCTAACCTGCTTGTGCACTTTCCAGAAACATTTTATTGGCCACTTTAGGAAGATAAAGCTGGCCTGGATCACCTATGGAAACATCCGATACTTAACTATGCACTTTGCGAAGAAAAGGAGCTTTTCCCTGTTATCTTTCTCCACAACTTACTGTACTTTATGCACCTTTATTATGTATGTCCCTCAGCTTTTAAAAAAGATCAAAGGCACCCTCAAATGTAGAACTTTTCATCATAAATGAACTTAATTTCTTTGGTGTTCAATGGTTTTTCCCTTGGTTGCTGGTATTGTTTTTGAATTTTGATTGTTTTTCTCTTACATAACTCTCTTACATTTGTAACTTTATTGTGTTTAATCTGAAATACCAAGTGTGAACAAGAGGAATTTTCCCCCCTAAATATGTATTGGGTCTCTTTAGTGGTATTACTGCTGCATCACACACAAATTTGATGTTTCTTTCCTTAAAACCATCCATACGTCCATGTTTTCTATTCAAGAAGTATAGACTGGAAAGAGCATAGTACATGTACTGTAATGTATTTGTGGTTGCAACCTTGTTACCTGATCCTAATTCCCTAACAACAAGTGGTTGTTTGTGCTACATTTTGTAATTTTATGTTGAATTGAGCAATGGGAAATGGAACGTGCCCATAACATAATTTCAGCCTTGGAACAAATTTCAATTACTGCTCTTACCAAGTCTATGGATCAAAAGGGATTGAGCCTCAATTGCTTAGGCAGTATTTATGCATGCTTAACTTGCTTTTGGGATTTTAGTGGAAACGCTCCTACATAAACTTGCTCTAAGAGTTACTGATATTTCAGATCAACCTTGACTTGGGTTTTTGTGCAAAGTTGAATCCTAAACTTGGCTATATTTTTGAAGTCTAGATTTGATTCATATTTAATGTCAAGCATTTAGGAAAAATGGATAAAAACCCTGAAGCCAAGCATTTTCTGGCCTCTTCATCCATTCCCTAAACCTACTAGATTATCCACATGCCTTCAGGGAGATATAAGTTATATTGGGATAGGGTTCGATATCCAAACATTGAATAGCATAACATCTGTTTTCGTTCTTGGCACTTATAAAATCAAACAAATCTGAAGTAAAAGCATGCTGAAAATGTATATAATGTATAGTCTCCCACACACTGATAATGTTACATAGCACTCAATGAGTCCTATACGGCTCCACAGAGAATAAATTAGTAATCCTTGCTGGAATATAACATTGCAATAAAAGAAAAAGAATACTTTTGAAAGGTAGAGATGGTGGTCCCTCTTTTGTAGGACTAGGGGCAATTAAAACTCTTACAAAGGGGGCAGCCCTCTTAGAAACACTCACAATTCAGATTTTTGCCAGTTTAGCAATCCTGCCTGTTTTCAACATTCAAAGCAAGAACATTGGCATTCTTCCATCTCAAACTTCTAATCACATCGCTTTTCCAGACTCCCATCCCGCCCCCACCATCCCCAGTTAGATTGGAGAGAACTGCCGATACAGTTATGTTACTGGGTAAGCCATGACCCACCCATTGTGGTTAGATTTCAATTTCTGTTATTCCTGGCTGTTAACCATTTTACCTAGAATCAATAAAAAGT